TTAAAGAACAACAACAAAGCAGTGTTTCTTATACAGATTTTATGTAGTCCAACCAGCCACATATACTAATGTTTGCCTTGTTCACTCATCTGAATGAAAAACATCAACCACTATCCTCTCACTCTTATTCTTAAAGTTTGGTCTTGCTTTTCCCTACTCTCTGGTTCGCTGGCCACATTCCTGCTGTGGCGGCCTGTGAGACATTTTCTCCGTCTCTCAAACAAACTATTGCGTTGGCTTTGCACATCCTCTCTGAGCTAGAAGGCCACTCTAATCAGAAGAGCAGCAGGTGGAAAACTGCTTCATGCACCATATTGTTGAGCTCACCGTGGTTGCGCAGCAGAGTTAGAACAACAGCACCAGCAAAGACGAGTGGAAGTGAAGTCCACCCAGGTGATCACAGACTCTGATCTGATTATATTCCTTCAGTATTTGTCACAGAGTAAATTAAATATTTGAAGCAAGCATGGTTGTGCCTGTGTAAATGCACATGAGCTAACATCAAAGACCGAATCTGTAGGAAGCACTACAACTGCTACAAATCAATCACAAGAGCCAAGCTAACATCAACCCACCCAGGTCACAGGGAAGGAAAAAAAATGAAAAATTTCAACAAGATGGTGTCTAAGGAAATCATCAGGGTTTGCCTTCTACCCAATTAAAATCCATCATGAGTGACCCACATTATGGGGTCTCATTTTGTCAGTGACACGAGCTAATATAACAGTGCTAAAGAGAGAGAGAAGTGCACAAAGACTGTAGAAGCCGATTTTCCCCACATGTGTTGCTTTTTAAGGCAGTTTTAAATAGGTTGCTTATTTATATTCATATGCACAATGAACTGTACATTTCAAAATATGCCAATAAAACACTGTGGATGTTCCAGACATTTATTATAAAGCAAACAGTAATTTGGTTAAAAAAAAAGTCTTCACAAAATCTTTCATGTCTCAACTCACATTACAGTTTGTGAGAATACCAATACTGCAAAGCCTTCTACAACAATTTTCCTTTGCTTACTCTAAAGAAAAATACAGGGAAAGTATAAAATATGACATTTAAATGACAGATTCACTTGCCCAGAAAAGAAGTTTCTATTTCCGGGATTTCTCCTGGCTCAAAATTGGCCTTTCGGCCTGGTGACTGTGCATGTAAGCACGACTTAAGTCTAAACATTTTCCTGGTCAAAATGTTCTTTACGATCAATTTAAACCCCTCGTTTAAAAAAAAGAACCTCTCGTTTCATTGTAATGTTTCTGTAATGCCTTCTCTCTAAAATGGTCTACGCTGAGCATCAGAAAGGCGAGCATTCATCGGTCATGTTGTGCATAAGTCTCAATCGACAACAAGACTCCTCAAACTAAAAATCGTTTTGACAGGAACCAGGCTAATAAACCCCTGTTGTCTGCTGGAAATACTCACAGGATCAAAGCGGCAGTTCAGCATGCATGTCTCACAGGCTAAGAGGCTATAACCCAGAGCGGTGGTCAGAGTCAGCGTTTCACTCAACTCCTGAGGAACAGCAGGCCAGACGCTGCCTGCCGCTGGTGGTATTAGAGTCCACTGCATCCAATCCATGGCTAACACATAAAAAAAAGGTCTAAGTATGTCCACTGGTGGGCTGAGGAAGGAAGTCTTCCGACCAACATTGGCTTGCCTCAGGATCCTCTGAGCAAAGCGGCTGCCACCACCCCTCTCCAAGTCATCCTCGTCAAATCACAGCGACCGCCACGCTCTGCCTGCCCTCCTCCGATACAGGCTGCTGGGTTGATTCAACAAATCTGATGACAGCACTGAGGCTCGGCTGCCCCGGTGGGCCAGGGCTGACGTTGCAGAAGCTGACTGGCTGTCTCGCTCCCGTTAAGCACCCGTCTCTGCTTTTGTTTTGTCGCCGTTGCACTGAGTCATTCCCCAGGAAAAAAAAAACAAAACGCTGGAGCTGTGCAGGCAGCGTTGAGTCGCACACCTGCGCTCAAATGAAATGCCTGCTCCGGTCTGCCACATGTTAAACCAACCCTGAGGCATTGCTCAAATTCAGACCTCCAGAGCCTTGGTTTTAATAGATTATTCTGCTAACAAGCTAAGTTGCAAAATAAAGGGCTGGGCAAACTGGTTTCTTTTTGAACATATTAAAGAGAGGAGGAAGAGAAACAAAAACACAACAAGATTAAGAAGTGAACAGCAAGAGATATTGTTCCTCAGTCGTATTTCACAAACATGGCACTACGAGATCATTCACGATGTGCCTGGCCAGACAGAGACAAATCCCCGCCTATGCTAATAATCCATCCTTCCTCCAATGTAAAACTCCCACTCCTGTCCGAGCGGCTGCCATAGAAACTGCTGCTGACATCAATGGACGCGTACGTCCAGGGCATCGCTTGACCTTTCAAAATTCTAAAATGTTCCCCTCTCTCACAGAGGAAGGAAAGGTTAGCAGCCTTTCTGATTGAGGGTGTATTTTTGGAGGAAATAGGAGGATGTGATTCATCACGAACCGTGGACAGAGATGAGTTATAGTCAGTGTCATTGGAGGGCAGCCGACGTAGCACCGGGTTTATTGCTCTCCCTCCTTGATGGAGGTGGGCTCCCAGCAGGCAGGCAGACAGACAGAAAGACAGAGCAGACAAACCAGAGTCCTTAGGGAGGGAAAACAAAAACAGCTGAATTTGGACTAATCTGTCTGTCTGCACACCGGAGGCTCCTCTTTCCTCTCTGACAGACAGATCTGGGGGAGACCAGATGGGCTCATCACAAATACTACAACATGCATCGTCCTTAACAGCATTTTCTACAATATTAGACTAATTTAGCAACTACAGATTAGTTGTTTTTCCCCCCAGGTCATTATTTAGACAAATTTAAAACAGTTTAACCTTTTTATTTTTCTTTGAAACCATCGGTCTGGCGGCAGGACCATTTCCTTTACCACTTGTTCTAAATGCAAAATGTAAACAGTTTGGGAAAGAAGAGAAGATAACCTTTACAGGGATATTCTGTGTATCATGGTGGCACAAAGCATTCATAAGGTACTGTGTGAACACCAGACAGGGGAACCTAGATTTTACAGTGTGTGCTTTTTATTTAAATGGTTCCAGAAAGATGACTGCAGTCGACCTCCATCTATACGCAGTTCAGTATTCGCAGATTTTTCTGTGGAAAGTAACTCCAAATTATTTGGGGAAAATTCGCCTATTCACAGATTTTTTTGATTTGACACGCTATTGGCTGGTGTTTGCAAAGCAGCCAATCTAGGAGTGCCATTCATTTTGCTTCATGTTGAACAGAGTACCGCCCAGTACATCAAGCCTGTGATTGTTAGCTTCTGTGGTAGTGCCAAGAAGTTTTCCACGTCTCAATTATTTGCAGATCTCAGATCTTTGCGGGCGGTTGTGGTTCCTAACCCCTGCGAATATCAGGGTCAACTGCATTTTGTAGTTTTACAGTCAAAATTACAAAATAAGCCCACGTGGGCTGTTTGATACTGGCTTAAACTTAACTGATGCTATGTTTATTCTTAGACTAGAGGAGCTTTGCATGATCCCTAACAGTTTATTTGGATCGTCACTACACTTTACTGTAACATCATCTGATATTTGCTGTTTTTATAAAGATACCTTATTCTGTTTATTTAGCTTTCTTGAGTTTTAGATATTTTACCTTAATTATGCTAATATATTTTTTATTTAAATCTATGCTTAATAACTAAACATATATTTTACCTTCTACTGTGCTTGGTTCAAGTGTTGGAGGTTGCTGGGGTAACTTTTAACCAGAGGTCAGCAACCTGTGGCTCAGTTAGAATTAAAACTAACCGTAACCCTTTTAAAACGCCAAGTACGTCGTTCAAATGTGCGGCTCTTTTTCTCCTGTTGCTTTGTAGGCGGAGCTAAAGCGGCTCTTCTGATGTTGAAGGTTGTCGATATATGAGGTGATGCTTCTATATCACATTAAAATATGGCACAGCATTACTCAATAACATTCTACATATTTAAGCTATTTTCTTCCATCTTTAGAAGAAATGGCAGTTGTGCTTATTACAGCAAGTTTCTGAACTTCTCATCTAATGCAAGCTTGTTCTTTGCCTTTATTAAAGTTCTCTCAGAAACGAGCCATTTAGCTCCTCTCACTTTAACGCTGCAACCTTCTTCCAGAGGAAAACAAAACTAACAGCATTATATTATTAGTCACATTTGTATAAGAACCGTGGTTCTTTAAGACGATAACTCAAAGGCAAGCCAAGTCGTAAAAGACTGATCTAAGAGATTTGTTGACGAGGCTGGACAGTGGTGAGAAAGGCAGTGGTGTGGTGTCTGTGTATTGGTGGCATTTCCCTGCTTTGGCAACAGATTTAAGAATGAGGATCTGAAATCTTTTGATATGGCTACCCAGCTGCTAAACTACATTTACACTTTTTGAGTACATCCCCTTCGGTTTCCAAAGCTGGACGACTGCTTAAAAACTAGTCTGCATTTCTGTCCCCACAGTTTTGATTACATCTGCATTCATACACAGAGCATTTTC